GCGACGGGTAACAGCGCCCAAGATGGCTCAACATTGCCCCCCCGAAGAGGGCCCAGGTAGCCCAAGGTCGCCCCCAAGATCGCACAAGCTAGCCCAGTATGGCTCATTATATCTGCCAGCATGCCTCCAAGAGGCTCAAAGACCACCACGAGACAACTACAGCTGACCACAGAGCCTCCCGAAGACGCCCCCGAAAGGCCAAACCCATTCCAGCACCTCAGGGCAATCAATATGGCTTGTTTTCTCGACCTTTAGCTTCCGTTGGGCTTCTGACGCCTCAGTATGGCTCCAAGACCGCCCAAGAAAAGCCCAAGAGGAGCCCAAGACGGCCCCAACAGCGTCCGAAAACGCTCCAATATTGCCCCAAGGGGACCCCAGTATGCACGTGTTCTGTCTCTGAAGGAGAGGGGGGGCAGCTTTGGAGCCCACCTTTGTTTGATCGGTGGCTTGCAAGACTGCCCCAACAGCGCCCCAAAGGCCTTGCAGAGGGCCCCAAGATGGCCCCAAGAGGGTTCCAAAATAACCCAACTTGTTGCGTCGGCTGTTAAGCAAGGGTCGCCTGCGCTGGCCTAAGAAGCTAACTAAACGGGGGCACCGTTGTAGCGAATTGGCCATCATGCAAGAGGAAGGGAGGAAGGAAGAGCGGGCGGCCTCGGTGAGGGGGAATAGGCGAGAGCAGCTCAGGGCCCTCAAGAGAACCCTGCAGGCTTCCTCCGAAATTGCCCCCAAGGAGGGCCTCTAGACGACCCGCGTCGGGTGCCAAAGGGCTGCCATACTGGCAGATCTGCGAGGGCATCCGTGGTCGACTCCTGGGCCTGCTCGGGCTGGTCCCGATCTTGGGCTTGACAGCTGCCCGCCGTCTTCCTTCGGCTGCGTGTTCCCGCACTTCCTTGACCACTGCGACTCGCCTCGGCATCGTTACCGGATGGGTTGATGGGGATACTTCTTTTGTCGCAGCCGCAAGCGAAAACGCAGGCGGCGTCAAACGGAACGGGCGGGACACGCGCGAACCTAATTGCCCAACGCGCCGGCAAACCGGCGGCCTAAGCAGCACCTAAGCGGACCGGAAGCGAGAGGTGGTGCGGGCTGCAGCTGCCAGGAAACAGGCCCAGGAACGAGCGCATGCAAAATTAGCCATCCGAGGTTGGGGCGCTGCCAAAATGGCGCGAGGGCGATACCATGATGAAACCAGGAGCACCATCACGAAGGACCGCAGACACCAGCTAGGCCAGGAAGAACTCACTGACCAGGAAACTAGCGCATGGAAAGGCGCCACCAAAGTCGCACACAACGCTGACAAGTGGCCGGCTGATGGGGATACTTTTTCCCCACATGTTTTTCCCCGCACGTTTCGTGGGGTTATGGTTTTCTTCTCTGCCGCGTCGCACCCGCGTCTCCTCTCTCTCTCACACACACACGCACACACACACACATTCACACATTCACACATTCACACATTCACACATTCACACATTCACACATTCACACATTCACACACACACACACACACAAAAAAAAAAAAAAGCGCGGTCTCTATGCGCGCCAGGGTCGGAGAGCGTGGCAGGGGTGGCATTTTCCCGACACCAGAGAGGGCTCAGCGCGGCCTCTATGCGCGCCAGGGTCGGAGAGCGTGGCAGGGGTGGCATTTTCCCGACACCAGAGAGAGTGCACAGGGGGGGGTCCCTCAGCGCGGTCTCTATGCGTGCCAGGGTCGGAGAGCGTGGCAGAGGTGGCACTTTCTCGACACCAGAGAGGGTGCGCAGGGAGTGGTCCCTCAGCGCGGTCTCTATGCGCGCCAGGGTCGGAGAGCGTGGCAGGTGTGGCACTTTCTCAACACCAGTGAGGTGCGAAGGGGGTGGTCCCTCAGCGCGGTCTCTATGCGCGCCAGGGTCGGAGAGCGTGGCAGGGGTGGCACTTTCTCAACACCAGTGAGGGTGCGAAGGGGGTGGTCCCTCAGCGCGGTCTCTATGCGCGCCAGGGTCGGAAAGCGTTGCAGGGGTGGCACTTTCCCGACACCAGGGAGGGTGCACAGGGGGTGGTCTCTCAGCGCGGTCTCTATGCGTGCCAGGGTCGGAGAGCGTGGCAGGTGTGGCACTTTCTCAACACCAGTGAAAGTGCGAAGGGGGTGGTCCCTCAGCGCGGTCTCTATGCGCGCCAGGGTCGGAGAGGTGGAGGAGGGTGGTGGTCAGCGCGGTCTCTATGCGCGCCAGGGTCGGACGTGGCAGGGGTGGCACTTTCCCGACACCAGAGAGGGTGCGCAGGGGTGGTCCCTCAGCGCGGTCTCTATGCGCGCCAGGGTCGGAGAGCGTGGCACGGGTGGCACTTTCTCGACACCAGAATGGGTGCGCAGGGGGTGGTCCCTCAGCGCGGTCTCTATGCGCGCCAGGGTCGGAGAGCGTGGCAGGGGTGGCACTTTCCCGACACCAGAGAGGGTGCGCAGGGGGTGGTCCCTCAGCGCGGTCTCTATGCGCGCCAGGGTCGGAAAGCGTGGCACGGGTGGCATTTTCCCGACACCAGAGAGGGTGCGCAGGGGGTGGTCCCTCAGCGCGGCCTCTATGCGTGCCAGGGTCGGAGAGCGTGGCAGGGGTGGCACTTTCCCGACACCAGAGAGGGTGCGCAGGGGGTGGGCCCTCAGCGCGGTCTCTATGCGCGCCAGAGTCGGAGAGCGTGGCAGGGGTGGCGCTTTCCCGACACCAGAGAGGGTGCGCAGGGAGTGGTCCCTCAGCGCGGTCTCTATGCGTGCCAGGGTCGGAGAGCGTGGCAGGGGTGGCACTTTCTCGACACCAGAGAGGGTGCGAAGGGGGTGGTCCCTCAGCGCGGTCTCTATGCGTGCCAGGGTCGGAGAGCGCGGCAGGGGTGGCACTTTCTCGACACCAGAGAGGGTGCGCAGGGAAGATTTAAATTAAGTATGTGGGGTTCCTCGGTAGCGTAATTGTTTGGTCGCGGCCGCGCAGCAGGGGGCAAGCGGCGAGAGGGGGTCCGGGGCACGGGCCAGTCTAATTAGCTACTAAGCGACACGCAAGCCGGCTGGGCCAGCACTCAGAAGCGGCAGCTGAGGTGCAGCAGCGGCTGGTGGAACTGGATGGCTGGTCTGCAACGCCCAGGGAAGCTGATGCATCTTGCATTCCTGAGGCAGGGGTGCCAGAGGTAGAATTAGGGACTGCACGCCAGGGACGCCTGTCCAGCACTGTGCAAGTGCCATGCCACGAACTGGGGAGCGCTGCCACTGCTGGTGAACCGGAAAGCGGTGCGCAGCCAGGAACGGAGCTGGGCGAGCACGCTGAGCACAAACACTGTGGCCAGGAGAGACCAGGTACAGACTGACCATGTCGCCGCAGGGCGCCAAGGGCCAGGGCCGCGTCAGCGGCACACAGCAAGCCAGGTAGGCGGGGACGGGGCGCGGGGGAGCACGGTGTCTGATGGGGACACGCGAAGCGTCACGAATTTAAACCCAGCGTAGGTATGAAGAACGAAAATGCAGAAAAGGCGCTTGCACCATTCAATATAGTCTCACGCATATGGCATAAGTATATGGCATGATATGGAAATCGCATGCACCAGCAACAAGCATGAGTGCCGCACACATCACAGGATATACATTACATACGCAGTTCGTCAAACAATATAGATGCCTCACCCTTAGATGAGATGCCACGACACCAACGCATGAACCAGCATGCGCACAGGCCGCGCATGGTTAACACGTGCAATGACCATGCATCAACCATGCTGTAGCACATCATGCTGCAGGGTCAAGTCCGGCAAGCCATTCGCAGGAGCTCCCTGGTAGGGATCGACTGAAGCACAAGTAACTGCGTATAGAGTTGGAGGCGGCTTGGGGATCTGCACTGGTCGGGACCCTGGAAATGTGCTAGGGAGGGGGGATGGGGATGAGGCCAGATCTGCTCAGAATCTGTCCCCAGACCCCTCCTGGGGTTCAGCCTGGTGCAAGTTTGTACACACCCTGATTCCAGTTTTGGAGGTCCCGGGGCCCGAACACGGCCCCCAGAGGCTGACACAAATTCCAAAAGCTGTCCCGAGGCCAGCGCCTCGAACCCCGCCCCCCCTTCCTGCTGGCCAGAGCCAGAGCTGGACCACCTCAGACCCCCAGGCCAGCTCCAACCCTGGGTCGCCGTCGGCGCTCCACGTTGAACGCCGGCGGCGGGGTCGCCGCAGGTCGACAGGACGCGAACCTGCCGTACATGTGTTAACTTTCCGAGATGCTGCTCCCTCACGCGAGATGCCATAGCGACTTTACGCGGTGGCTTACGCGGGCCGCCAGCGAGGCACGCCAAGCTGTGAGCGAGGGCGCTCACGCGCGACCTTACGCGAGCATCTCACGGCAAATTCGTGCGGCGTCGGCGCGCGCAAAAGAGTTCTTGACACCGCGTCGATCGTTCAACCTTGAACCGATCGCGGCCCCGACCGTTCAAGGTTGGATTCCGTGGGGTCGTGCAGCGCTGCCGTGCCCCTCGGTGCTTCCCCGTCGCTCAATTGTGCGGGGCTCCCACCTTGAACGCCTTCCTCAGCGCCGCTGGAGCGCCACCGCCGCATGAAGCTGGTATCTACTGGCCCAGGGTTCCTGCAAAACCGGGCCAACCAGGCCTTGCAAGATCGTGCGAGCTCCTGCAGGATCCTGCAGGATGCCGCGCGCTGGCCCAGGTCGGTGCAGCCCTGGCTCGGCAGGATCCTTCAAGATCCGCCCTGGCTGACCCCCGTTTGCATTGACCACTGTAAATTGGGCCCCGGATGAACCGAACGTGCTCGGTGGTTCGAAGATGGGATCCTGAGGGATGGGGTCCTCAAGGACGAGGTGCCTCAAACAACGAAAATTCCACTCTCGGACACCCTTCCTATCCTTAGATCCCCATCCCTCAGCACCCCATCGTATGACCACCGACCTGCCGTACGCGACACTGTCGGCGAAGGCGATCCCGTTTTTTCTTCCGTCGCTAAAGTGGTGCGCGCGCAGAGCGCGCGCCCGGTCGCGGGGGTCTGGCCTCGCCCGCACCGGCCTCCTCGCCTTGAGGCGGGGCGGTGTCGGCGCCTGCGGAGGCGGGAGGTCGAGGAGAGGGGCGGAGAGGTCACGAGGAGGGAGATCGAGGAGGGAGGTCGCGAGGAGGTCGCGAGGAGGGAGATTGCGGAGGGAGGTCGCGAGGAGGGAGATCGAGGAGGGAGTTCGCGAGGAGGGAGGTCGCGAGGGGGGGGGGTCGCGAGGAGGGAGATCAAGGGAGGAAGCGAGGAGGGAGATCGAGAAGAGAGGGAGCAAAGGCGAGGAACGCTGAGTGGGCAACGAGGGGGCTTTTCCTGGCCACAGCGAGCCTCGGCTAAGATCCAGGTTCCCCGACCGACCTAGATCTAAGGAGCGGAAGTGGTCCTCGTTTCAGCGTCTCGACTGTAGGGAAAGAGGAGGGAGGAGATCGAGGGAGGGATGTCGCGACGAGGAAAGGGGTAGGGAGGAGGGAGGCCGCGAGGAGGGAGGGGTCGCGAGAAGGGAGGGTTCGCGATGAGGGAGGGGGAGAGGAGGATCCAGACCCTTTCGCTTCGTGACAAGATCGCGACGGAAGGGTTGTTGGAAGCTTACGGCCTCCGCGGGCCCTTGTTGGGCCCCTGGGACCTTCAAGGTACGACTCAGGATGAACAGCTGGCCCCGGGGAAGGTGTCCAGAGGTCCCCGGGGGGGGGGGGGGGGCGAAGATAAGGATGAGGAAGAGAGGAAAGGGAGGAGGAGAAGAGGTCGAGGAGGGAGGGGGGCGCGGAGGAGTAGGCGGACCGATGAAAATCAAGGAGGGAGACCGACGAGGGGAAGGGGGACAGGCAGCCGCGCAGCGGCGGAGGAGGAAAGCACGAACGGGCAGACCCTGCCTCCTGCTCGGCGGCAATCGTGGGAGAGGAACCCTTGCAAGCTACTGTAACACCGCTTGCGATGCGTTGTCCTCCCGTGTTCCCCTCCCCTCCTCTGGGAGACGAAAGCGTTATGCCCGAGGTGGCCGCCCGGCAACCGCGTCCGCGCATCTCCACCGCCCAATCGTGACCCGGAACGCACCACTGGGCAACGTATTTGTGGTGTGTTAGAGCTCCCGAATGTGATGTTGTGCATGTGCAGGAATCCGCCCATCCACGGTAGCAACTCCGCGTTCGCGGTGGCTCCAACTCCATCCAGCAGGCCAGGCAAGCTTCTTCATTTTTTCTCCTGTTTACAATACTCAGTTCAAGACGCCGCCTCAATCAGTACTCCACTTACCCCCATGGTTCAAACACCACTTTCTGTCGCAACGACGTGGGACACAACACGTTCTAACTAGAACGGGCCAGTGACTAGCCAAACAACGATGCACAGGTGCAGCGGGGAAAAGAAAGGAAGGTGGCGGCGGAGGCAGGAAGCAGGACAACGGCTCCAACTTCACACAGCCGAACAGGAGTGCGACCTTTGGCGGCTGGCTTTCGGGGCCGCGGGGAGCCAAATCGAAGCGCGCGCAGCAGTGCTGATGATGAAGGAACGATCCTCGATCGAGGACCGAGGATCGATCGAGGATCAGGGATCCATCGAGGATCGAGGATCGATCGAGGATCGATGATCGAGAATCGAGGATCAGTCGAGGATCGGGGAGCGTCGGCCTTGATCGTGGATCGAGGGATCCATGGAGGATCGATGGATCCCTCGATCGGTCGGGCGACGTTAACATCTCAGCGATCCTAGCGAGCTCGTTCGACCACGGGCCCAGGCTCCCAGGCCGAGCCGGGAGGGCCTGCGCACCGATCCGGGCCGGGCCCGCCCGGGATCGGTGAGGTGGTGCAGTGACGCCGCCCGACCTGTGGCCTCGCACCAGATGGCGTGGACCCCCCACTGAAGGGGCCCCGGGGCACACAAAGAGATAGGCACCAGTCCCAGCCTTCCCGACACTTGTCCATCTGTTCGGGGTGTTCGTCTTCCCCACCCCACTGTCCATCTTCTCCCATCTTTTCTGGTGAAGAGACGATTCATTGTGTCTGTGTGGTTCCTCCTCTCTTGAATTGACGCCGCCCGATCTGTGGGCCCGCATCGGATGACGTGGACCCCCCTAGACCTGAACCCCTACCCTGGGACCGGATTTTCATCCGGGTTCGCTCTGTTGGCGGCCCAGGGGCCCAGCAAGGGCCCCCCGGAAGGCGAAGACTTGCCAGAGACCTTCGTCGCGATGCTTCCACCATTGCAGCTGGGGTGGCGAGGGCAGCCCAGATGGGGGAGGGGCGGAGTAAGGGCAGTAGCACTTGCAGTGGTTTTTGCATGGAGGCAGTCGTTGGCGGTCTGGGCGCAATAGCTGCGCTTGGATGCACCCGCGAGTTCTCTCAAAAGCGCAACAGTCCACGCACCTTGCAGCCGCTCGTGCCCCCCAGCAGCAGCTCGCGCAGTGGCTCGCGCCCTGGCCCGCGCAGGCGAAGCAGCGCACCTCCCGCGCCACCCCGTTGGCGCTGCCCCTCCCTCCCTCCAGCCTGGACACGATGGAAGACGGGGCGGCGGCAGGCCCCCCCCGAGGCGAGGGGCCACATCGGCGCTGCCCCTCCCGCGCTCCAGTCTGGGCGTGCCGAAGGAGGGGCGGCGGCAGGGCCCTCCGAGACGAAGGGCCGCCCCCACGCGCGGCCGACGGGGGCGACCCCTGCGGGCGCTCCGTCGCAAGCATAGCCGGCGGGGGGGGGGGCGGGCGCCTCCCTCCTCCGCGGCGGGCGCCGTCGCCCCGCTCGCGGCGCCCTCGGGGGCGGGGCTGGGAGGCAAAGGGTCGGATGGGGGGGGGAGGAGCCCTCGTCGTCGTCGTCAGCATGACCGTCAGGGAGGTGCTCCTCCACCTCCCGTCCTCCGTCCACCTCCTCTCACCTCCTCCCCCCTCCGCCACCCCCTGCCTGAGCCTCCTCCCTCTTCTCGCCCGCAGGCACTGCACAAGTGCCTCCCCCAGGCGCCCGCAGGCACTTCCCAGGTCCCTCGTGCCCCTCCTCCTTCTCCTCCTGCGCCCTCTACCTCGGCGGCCGGGAGGCGGGGAGGGCGTGACAGGGAGGATGGCAGGGAGGCGGGGTGGTCATGCACGAGCGATGTGCCTTGAGGAAGCCATGTGAGCGACGACGAGAGACGGGTCTTACGCAACACGGCATGGCAATTTTACACCGCGGCTTACCGCGGGCCAGGGGCGCGGCACTCCACACTGAACGCGAGGGCGCTGACGCGCGACCTTACGCGGGCAGCTCACGCGCCAATGACGACGGAGACGACCCCGCTTTCTTCCTTCGGAGGAGAAGGTGGAGGATAAACAAACACAGGTGAGGAGAACAGGGACGGGACCGAGGAGGCGGAAGGGGACGAGGACGATGAAAACCATGACGAAGACGACGAAGAATATTATGACGAGGGCGAGGATAATACTAAACACGAGACGTAGTAGAAAGAGGAAGGAGGAGGACCAGTGAAAACAAAAGAGTCATCAACGATGTTGGAATAAACCCTCCCTCCAAACTCCCTCTTCCTAGGCCCCTACAAGGGTTCATTTCCAAAAAGAAATGCCTCGTTGGAAGACAACCGTCTGAAGACCCTGAAGCATGCCAGAACAATGTTGTCGGGATTTCAACGCCACGGATCAATATGACTGTTGCGTCTTGACGATCGTGAATCGCGCAAGAACACCATTCCTGGGACATCAACACCGCGAATCAACGTATATAACTGCTGCACCCGCATAATCCGGAATCCTTCCAAAACGCAATTTCTGGTACGCTGATCAGGGGAATCCGAAGAAACTATTGCAAATTTGGCAAAAAACGGATGTGCGCGGCGCTAAGGCGCGAGCCACATTTTGAAAAGGAACCGCCCGCAATATGCGAAACCGTTGCTAATGTTGCACACGAATGGGCGTGGCGCCAGGGCGAGAGCCACATTTTGAAAACGACACGCCCTCCATCCTTGAAGCTCTTGCACATGTTTCAAAATAGTGCGCGGCGCTAAGGCGAGAGCCACATTCTGAAAACCACTCGCCCTCAATCCGTGAAGCTCATACAGATATTTAAAACGAATGTGCGCGGCGCTCATGCGAGAACCACATTTTGAAAATGGCCCGCCCTCCATATGTGAAACGGTTGCCACATGTAAGCTTCAGGGTCATAAGTGGTGAGGAAGGTTTGAGCGAAACGTCCAGACCGCCCTAACAACTGGCCTCCGGGTGCGACACGGGGAAGTTGTTTATCAGGAGAAGGAATGGAGGAGGGAGGAGGAGGAGGAGGAGGAGGAGGAGGAGGAGGAGGAGGGGGAGGAGGGGGAGGAGGAGGACGACGACGACGAAGAGGAGACCGATGACGAGGTTTGCAAGGAGCAGTGAACTGCAATTGCCCTGTGGAGTGAGTCGAGCGCTGCCTCGGTCTGCTGCGCGGCATTGCAGACTCTTCCGGTCTCTCTTGAAAGGCCAACGTCCCTTCCATCGACCAGACGAGGGCGCCGCTGAAGGCTCGAAGCAGCGAAAGCCCTCCAAATCCCCCCCTCCTCTTCGCATCCTCATCCTCCTCCTCCTCCTCCTCCTCCTCCTCCTGCCCCCTCCTCCCTCTCATACCCGGATCGCCTCCTCGCCGAGAGCTGCCGCTGAAGGGATGGGCCGGCCCTACCCGGAGACCAAGATCCCAGAGCCCCTCCGCCACAAAGGAGCGGGCGCAAACGAAGGGGAAGGGCGGAAAGGGAAGGAAATCGCGTCCGTCAAGGCTGTGCACGTCGTTCATGTCTAATCGTGCTCATTTTTTGCCGTGGCAATGCTTCGCGGCGCAACGGCTGCACGCGAGCTGTGACGGCGGGCGGCACTAGGCCACCCCGTAAAAGGCGCGGACCTCACCGTCTGTGAGCCGCACTGCCGCTTCGGCTACACGCACGCCCGCCTGCGTGGGGTGCCAACCACCGAGCAGCTTAGTCTTCGCGCTGGTGACCTGCTTCGAGGCCGTCTGACCTCGGCAGCGGTCACCCAAAGAACGAAAAACACGCCCTGAGCATCGCACCCCGCATCGGCCACAAAAGGTATACGGCCCCGCGCGGTACAGCTGGTGCCCCTGCGCAGGATCAAGAATCCTGTTGGCCAAGCCTCCACTAGCACGGGTTGGTCCCGCGCTAGGCCCCTCTGGAGGAGGAGGAGGAGGAGGAGCAGCAGGAGGGGCAGGCGCAACAGGCTCGGGCGGCTGGGGGCTAGGCATCAGGGCGCCTCTGCCACGGCTGCGACTCCAATGCACCTGTGCGCCTACTCCACGCCACGACCAGAGCCACCCTCATACGTCACTCGCTGCCGCACTCCAGGGCACCGCTGTCGCAGGTACTGCGCTGCTCGGGCCCCCAGCACCTTGGAGCGCGCACCGCAGTCCAGGCATCTGTGCCACTGGCCCTCCGTGACGATGTTGTGCCTCCTGATCGGCGGGTCCCGCGGCCGTCCTCGCGCCGCAGGGCCAGCAGGTGCACACGGCCCTGCGGCTGCACTGCCTCCGTCTGAGTCCTCGATGGGGTCGTCCTCCTCCATCTCGTCGTCGGCAGGCGCGGCTGCTGCTGTTGGCTGGGTCGCCACCCTCGCAGCCTCCCCTGCTGCGGCAGCCACCTCCTCAGGCGATGCGCCTGCTGCCGCTGCCGCTGCCGCTGCCGCCGCCACAGCTGCCGCTGCCGTAGCCGTGGCATTCCCTGCCGATGTCATGGCAGGCCTCGTCTCATCAGCCTCGGGCTGCCGTCCTCGCAGCCGGGCCTCTCGTCGGCGCTGCGCTCGTGCCTCCTCTTTGGTGGGCAGCGCGACGTCCCCGAAGTCGCCGACCTCCACTGCCATGCCTGCCGCGAAGTCCAGCACCTGATGCACCGTCTTCCAGCGGTCCTGCCAGACGTCGATCTGCCACTGCGGCGGCATGGCCAGCTGCGCTCCTTTGACCGCCAATTCATCGGCGATCTTGTTACCGTACACGTGGAACGCGTTCTGCCCTCTGCCATGCGACCGCGCATGCACCACCGTGAGGCCATCCATGTTCGGGAAGGTCTCGTCCACGACATTCCAGATGCGCATCCAGATGTCGCAATTGCTCCTCTGCGGCGCCGTGCACCACAGTCGGCCCTTCCTCATGCCTCTCACCGCCATCTCGTAATCGGTGACCCACGTGGTAGGGGCCGTCGCCCTGCTCAGGGCCTACCAGATGGCCTGGAGCTCGGCCCGCTCCACCGATAGGTCAGCTCGTACTCCTGGCGTGCTTCCGTATGCTCCACCAAGCGCCGTATACTGTCCTTCACCAGCAGGCTCCTCGAACCACATGTAGCCCCAGCCGTAGTCCTTGAGCGTGTTGGCGCCTTTGCCCGAGCCGTCGGTGAAGCAGACCCCCGAGATGAACGGCATGACGTCGTCCTCGCCGATGTCGCCGCCCTCTGCGTTGACCGAGTGGTACTGCTCTATCTGGGTGTCGCCCTCAACGTCCTGGATGGGGTGCGCCACCAGGCCGCAGTTGAGCAGCAAGCTCGCGCCTGTGCCCGCCATGCGCTGCACAATGCCCGCATGCTTGTCGGCGAGCTTGGTCCTGCTCTCCTCATGGGCCTCGCAGCGCCCGAAGCGGTGCCTCTGAGTGCCCTGCGCGCGCCTGCACTGCTGGCACATGCCGTCGGCTACCGTGCCGCGCTGCTGGAGCTTGGCCTGTGTGCAGTAGTCCTGCCCCACATAGGCCTTGCGGCGGTGGCCCCCGCCTCGGGTCGGCACCTGGGCCCGCCGCGGGCTGTCCCTGCTCGGGCCCCGGGGGCGGTGGGTGCTTTTCGGAACATCCTTCTCTGGTCCCCTCCCCTTCCCCCAGGGAGGAGGGGCAGGCAGGAGGGGAGTGGGGGGAGGAGGAGCCCCCCTGCCCTCCCCCCCGCTCAGCGCCCCCCTGCGCGGGTCCGTCACCAGTGTGGCGCCACAGCAGGGCACGCGAGGCTGATAAGCGACGTGGCCACCCCTCCCCAGGTGCTCTCCCCTCCCCCATGCCGCTCTCCTCCCGCGCCTCCCCCTGCGCTCCTCCTTCCTGATGCTCTCTCCTCTCCCGTGGTGCTCTCCCTTCCTCTGCTGCTCTCCTGCCGCGCTGCGCTCCTCCAGCCTGCTGCCCCCTCAACTCTGAAACGGGGCTGGGCGAGAGATCCCCGGCCAACACTGCAATCGTGGAAGGCCAGCGCGATGCGCTTCACGGCTCGCATCGGCGAGAGCTCGCGGGACGGGCTGGCTGGATGTTCTGCAGAGGGCCGCGCTGAGGAGGTGGAAAAGACGGGCCGTTGCCCCTCCTCCTTCTCCTCCTCATCTTTCTCCTCTCCCACCAATTCTTCGTCCTCCTCCTCCTCCTCCTCATCCTCCTCCTCCTCCTCCTCATCATCATCATCATCAGCATCATCATCATCATCAGCATCATCATCATCATCATCATCACCATCATCATCATCATCATCAACAGCAGCATGACCATCAGCATCATCATCATGACCACCACAACCACCATCATCATCAACAACAGCAGCAACATAATCACCACCACCACCATCAGCATCATCATCATCATCACCATCATCATCACCATCATCATTATCAGCATCATCATCGACGCCGTCATCATCGTCACCATCACCATCACCATCATTACCATCACCATCACCATCACCATCCTCATCCTGATCCTTGTCTTATTCATCCTCCTCATCCTCCTCCTCATCATCTTCACCATCGTCAGCACCATCACCAACGTCATCGCCATTGTCATCGTCACTCATCATCATTATCAACATCAACATCAGCATCATCTTTATCATAATCATCATCATCAGCATCAACAACATCATCATCACCATCATCACCATCATCATCATCATCAGTATCATCATCATCATCACCATCATCACCATCATCATCACCATCATCATCATCATCATCATCATCATCATCATCATCAATACCATTATCGTCGTCATCGTCGTCGTCGACGTCATCCGCGCCCCCTCCCGCGCCCCCTCCCTCTCCTCACTCCTCTCATTCTCTCTTCAGACCCGCACCAACCCGTCCCTCCCCCGCGCCCCCTCGCCTCCCCCCTTCGCCCCCCTCGTCCCCTCGCATCCTGGTCCAAACTCACAACGCGAGCACTGACAATGCAGGAGCGACAACTCCTTCCCCTCCTCCTCCTCCTCCTCCTCCTCCTCGTCCTCCCTCCACTCCTCCTCCTCCTCCTCCTCCTCCTCCTCCTCCCTCCTCCTCTTCCTCCTCCTCCTTCCCCTCCTCCTCCTCCTCCTCCTCCTCCTCCTCCTCCTCCTCCTCCTCCTCCTCCTCCTCCCCTCCTCCTCCTCCTCCTCCTCCTCCTCCTCCTCCTCCTCCTCCCCCCACTCCTCCTCCTCCTCCTCCCTCCTCCTCCTCCTCCTCCTCCTCCTCCTCCTCCTCCTCCTCCTCCTCCTCCTCCTTTTTCCTCCTCCTCCTCCTGCTCCTTCCACCTCCACCCTCCACCCTCCACCCTCCACCCTCCTCCTCCTCCTCCTTCTCCTCCTCTTTCGCCTCCAACTCCTCCTCCTCTTTCTCCCTTTTCTTCCAGCCTCCGCAGATCGCAGGTCAAAACCAATTATGTCCGGTCATGTGTTGTAAAACACGGGTCCAAAAAACACGCTAATCTCCGGTTAAAAGAAATGGTTTCTGGCCCCCTGTGGGCACGATGCGCATGAGAGGTGTGCGAATATTGGCTCCTGGACGCCGGTTCACCCGGCAACCGGGGAGCCCCCAGCCAGCCAACCAACCAAGCAAGCAGCACTTCCCGGTGCATGTGTTCAAGGATGTCCCACACCGCTGGGCCCAGATTACATGTCTGGACCTAGAATGACCGCGGGGTGGGGGAAGAGAGGACGGTGACGGAATGGGATGGACTGGAATGGGTGGAAGGGAATGGAAGGGAGGAGTGGATGGACTGGAGCGGCGTGGAATGGGATAGACTACAATGGATGGGAGGCGCTCGCAGGGGCGAGCGGGCGGGCGAGCCAGCGGGCGGGCGTGCAGACGTGCGGGCGGGCGCACTGCATTGCATTGCATTGCATTGCATTGCGTCGCATTGCGTCGCATTGCGTTGACTGTGCATTTGCACGTGCACTTACACTGCATTGCAGTTGCATTGCATTGCATTGTATTGCATTGTATCCTGTTGCGTTGCGTTGCGTTACGCTGCGTTGCATTTGCGTTGCATGTGCATTGCAGTTGCATTGACTTTGCATCGCATGTGCACAGCATTTGCATTGCAATGGCGTGCATGTGCAATATATTGCACTGCAGTGCCTTGCGGGCGAGGGGGAGGAGAACAGGAGTGAGGAGAAGGGAGAAAGGTAGATAGGAGAGGAAGAGGGAGGAGCGAGGAGAGAGGATGGAGGAGGGGGGGGAGGGGAGGGGGGAAGGAGGGAGGAACGGGGAGGAAGGAGGGAGGAGGGAGAATGGAGGAGGGAGAAGGGAGGGGGAGAAAGAAGGACGAGGAGGCTAGGATCGAATTGTTGTCGTCGTCGTCATCGTCGTCGTCGTTCTCGTCGTCGTCTGTGGAATGATGGTTTTTATGCCCCTGCGGCGCTGCCACCTGACGACTAGAATGGAATACGACTTCTTCGCGCCTCCAGGCGTTGCTACGTGGCGAGTGGAGTGGCATACTATTTATTGTCGTCCCCCGTAACGCTGCCACGTGACGAATAGAGCGGAACAGTTGTTTTTGTCCAACCTCTGAGGCGCTGCACGTGACAAGTAGAGTGGATTGAATACTGTTTCTTCGCACCCCCCAGGTGTTGCCATGCGGCGCGTGGGGTGGCTCAGTATCTTTGTTTGGCCCCCTCTGCGTTGCCACGTGACGAATAGTGGAAGCATACGTGTTCGGTCCCCGCCAGGCGTTGCCACGAGGCGAACAAAGCGAAATAGCATGTGTTGTCGACCCCCGCGGCACTGCCACGTGATGAGTAGAATGGCGTTGCCACGTAGCGGACACCCAACCAACCAACCAACCAACCAACCGACCGGCCAGCCACCAGCATCGGCGGCGGACAAACCTCCCTTTCGTAAACCTCCCCTTAGTGAAAACGGCCTGGGACCGAAACCGACGGACCTGGACCCGCAAAAAGTGACGGCCTCGACGCCCTCTCGCGAACCGAAAACGGCTAATTCCTTAATCGACGTGTCAGGGTAGGAGGTCTGTCCATTCCCGACAGCAAACGAACCGGTCAACCGACGATCCCGTTGCATTGGATTGCGTTGCGATGCGTTGCATCTGCATTGCTTGTTCGGTACATTGCACTGCAGTGCATTGCGGGCGAGAGCGGGGACAGGAGGCACGAGAAGGGGGGAAGGTAGAGAGGAGGGGAGGAAGCAGGAGGAGTGTGAGGAGGCAGGAGGGGGGGAGGAGGGTAGGGGGAGGAAGGAGGAAGGGGGAGGAACGAAGGAGGAGGGAGGATGGAGGATGGAGGAGGAAATTGGGGGGAGAAAGACGAGGAGGAGGATAGGATAGAATTGTAGTTTGCCTCCCTGGCCCTCGTCATCGTCGTCGTCATCATCATCGTCGTTCTCGTCCTCGTTCTCGTCATCGTCCTTGTCGCCGTCCTCGTGGCAGAATGTCTGTTTCGGCCCCGCGGCGCTCCTGCGTGACGGCTGGAAGGGAATACGATCTCTTCGCGCCTCCTGGCCTTGCCACGTGGCGGGCGGAGTGGCATAGTATTCTGTTCGGCCCCCGCGGCGTTGCCACGTGACGAACAGAGGCGAATGGCTTTTCTTGTTGGCCCCCGCGGCGCTGTCACGTGATCAGTAGAGTGGATGGGATACTATCTCTCTTGGCGCCTCCAGGCGCTGCCACGTGGCAGGTGGAGTGGGGGAGTATGGTTTTAGGCCCCCAGGGGCGTTGTCCCGGGACGAACATATTGGAAAAATATGTGGTTTCACCCCCTCAGGCGGTGCCACGTGGAGAAAAGAGTGGAGTAGTATTTTCCTCGGCCCCCACGGCGCCGCCACGCGACGAGTAGAATGGAATATGTAGCATTGTGTCGCCCGCAAAGGCGTTGCCACGTGGCGAGTGGAGTGGAACGAATTTCTTTCGGCCCCGCGGCGCTGCCACGTGACGAGGCGCCCATTACGGTACAGTGCATTGCATTCCAGTGCATTGCACTGTGTTGCGTTACATTGCATTTCATAGCATTTCATTGCATTGCATTGCATTGCGTTGCGTTGCGTTGCGTTGCGCTGCATTCTGTTGTGTTGCGCTGCATTGCATTGCATCATGTTGCACTGCATTGCGTTTAACCTGCGTTGCGTAGCATTGCATTGAATCCTGTTGCGTCGCATTGCATTGCACAGCGCTGAATTTACATTGCAGTCGCAATACATTGCATTGCGCCAAATTGCGGGAGAGGGGGACGAGGAGGAGGAGGACAGGGAGGGAGCAGAAGGGAGGACGGTACAGAAAAGAGAGAGGGGGAAAGAGGAAGAATGAGGAGGGAAGAAGGGGGAGGGGAGGGGGAGTGGAGGGAAGAACCAGCCAACTACGCGGGCAAGCGCGACCGACGAACCGACCGACCGACCTACCCGCCAACCAACGAACCAACCTTCCCGGTAAGATTTGGCCCAGCAATCGGCGAGACGGTCAGCCAACCAACCTACCAACCAACCAATCATTCCACGGGGATGAGTTGAGGATGTTCCACACGGCGGGCCCCGGAAATAAGTTTTTGGCATAGAAACCCGGAGATTGAAACATGACCCTGGAAATACAATTGTTTCAACCCTTCCCAGGCCTCCGCCCCTCCCGCGACCCCTCTCTCCCCGCAAACCCCTCCCTAGCCCCGCGCCCTCGCCCTCCTCCGCCTCCTCCCCCTCCCTCCGCCCCCCCCCCTCCGCCCAGCCCCGCCGCCCCCCGAAGGGGGGGCGACGGGGATCAGCATCACGGGCGGGGCGGGGCGGCTGGGGGAGCCTCCGTGGGGTCGGCCCCCTCCGCCCCCGTGGGCGCGGGCTGCTCCGGGCCCCCTGCGCTCGCCGGCGGGCGCGAGGGGAGGCGGGGGCTGCACGCGGGCGGGGAGGGGGCCTCGAGGTGAGGCGGTGGCGGCAGCGGAGCGGGTCGAGGCGAGGCGGGGCGGGCTCGAGGAGGCGAGGCGGGCTCTTGAGCGCTGGGGGCCCGCAGAGGGCAGGGGGGGAGGCGTGCCGGCAGGACAGGGGGGGAGCTTGAGGATTGGGAGAGGGAGGACTGGGAGGGAGACGACTGTGACAGGAAGCAGGGGGGGGGGGGCGGGGCAAGAGGACGCAGTCCGCGGCCCGCTGCCTCTGTTCTGTCGAGGGAGGAGGGGTGAGAGATGAGGCAAGGGAGAGGTGAGGGAGGGAGAAGAATAACCGGGCGTGGGGCTTGACTTCCCCATCTGACCCGCGGTACCGCACATCAAGGTGCCTCGAGCTTCCTACAGCTCTTCGGGATTCGGATGGAGATGTCTTGATGGGTAGCGCTGGTGGCGAATGTAGTCCCCCGCATGTTTACGCCACAGCGCCCGC